TTCCTAAAGATTTCCAGCATACAAATGCTAAGTTCAACAGACCATTGCATTGACTGATGGCTTCCTGTGAATATCAAAACAAAAAACAAAACAAAACAAAGCAAAACCCCATGAACACAGTGCCTACTGGCAGAAGTGTGTCTAAAAAACCAAACCCTACCACAGTTAGTACATAAAAGCTGCACTTTTGAATTCACTACCAAGGCAAAGAATCCAGTATCACAAGATGTCATATCTCTGACTATTGTCTGCCACCTCTTGATTCAGATATGGGGATACTGAGACATTTTATATTTGTGTATGGTGGGGTGCAAAAGCACATGTAGAAAATGCATACGGAGATCAGAGGACAACATTGGGTAGCATTCTTCGGATGCTGTCCACCTTTTTTTTTGATTTTTTTGAGACAGGATCTCTAACTGGTCTGGAACCATTTTAGGCTAATCTCCAGGGATCCACTCATCTCTACTTCTCTATGCCAGGATACCTGACTCTTTTCACTTGTGTTCTGGGGATTGAACTTGGGTCCTCATGCTTTCAAAGTAAGAACCTTACCAACGGGCCAATTTGTCCAGCTCCTGACTCTGAGTCTTCTTGACTGCAAGACCAGCAATTTCTGAGAGGCTGAGTTACAGCTCTTGTGGACTGATGTGACTGAATATTTAAAATTTAACTATAGCTGTCTGTCACATGAAGAGCGATGTATGCTCTCCAGTTTTCAATACTCAGGCTTGGCTGTGCTTGTGGCTAAGTTTTGGGTAAGTTATTAAAACAATGTTACTGTTTGTAGCCTACCTAAATATGTTCCCTCTTCACAGCAGAAAAAATTGAAATCCAAGAAGCCAATATGACATCAGAGTGCCCTTGGCTGATTTTCCTCCATATAAACTAGCTACCTATAAATGGATAATTGAATTGGAACCTCTAGGGTTCAAGTGCCTTTGGAGTACTCATCCAAGTAAGCCAGACTTTTTTTTTTTTACTCTGATTAACCTCTAAAAAGATATAATTGTCTCAATCTGGGCATGAGAGAGAAAACATAAACAAAACCTCAAGTATATTCAGTGGGAATAACTTGATACAGGGGGTTGGACTTTTGAGTCTTCAGAAAGGCCAAAGAATGGTCTCCAGTGTGAGCTTCCAGGAATGCTCCCTCAGCGCTGAAGCTTTAGAAACTCCTCAGCTGTGTGACAATTGCAGAGTTGGAGTGACTGACAAGCTTGCTTTTGTGTATTTAACTCTGCCAAGGATGCAGCAATCAGAGTTACTGTGCTCACACCGATGTCAGAGGATCAAGAAACAAATCGTGCCTGTATTCTGGAGTGCTGCTCACTGACTGCCGCATCCACAGGCTCTTAAAGGACTAGAAGCCAGGGCTAAACACTGCAACCCTGCTGCTGCTCAAAACCCAGAACACCCCACCCGATCTTGCTTGATCGTAGACGTCAGCCAAGGCAGCTGTTGTGTGGAAATGGCTTCTTTTTGCTGGCCACGTTATGTCCCCTCAACACATTGGTAGAACCTACTGCACATGGATATGAACAATGTTACTTCTAATCTCTTTAACAATAATATAAATTTCATATCTATATATACATACATACATATTAGATTTTTATCGTAGTTACCTCTCACTATTTTCCTTTAACACTCCCCCCTTCCAGGACTTACCAGCCCATCTCCCTCCCAACACTATGTCCTTTTAAAAATATTATTATAAATAGTTCACTTAGTTCAGTTAGTGCTGACCACATGCAAATGAGTGGAGGACATCTATTGGGATATAGGGTGATCTACCAGTGTCCATATCCCGAAAGGAAAGTGACTTGCCCTCCCTCAGCAGCCATCACCTGCCAATAGCTCCTCGGCTAGGTGTAATGCTGGCATTTTGACCGGCTTGATGTTGTACGGGTATCGTGCGGGCTGTGAATTCATGAGTGTTTACCATGTTGTGTCCTGAGGCCAGCATTCCCTAGCTTTCCTCCCCATCTTTTTGATCTTCCATGCTTTTGGCCCACTCTGCCCGACGTTCCCTGGGCCCCAGACAGCAGAGGCTGGTATAGGTGAACCACTTGCTGCTTGCTGAGCACTCATTGTCTGGTCCTTCATCACTAGCCACTACAAGAAGAAGCTTCTCTGACCATGGAGGAGAGGAGCACAAATCTATGGATAAAAACCATGAACACTTAGACAGCAGTTTGACAACATGACCATTTAGAAAAACAATATCAGTCAGTTCTTCCCTGGGGCCTATGACATCCCTAGCCATGGTTTCTGACCACGTTTATAGACCAGGCATAGATTCCCTCCTGTGGAGTACCCTGTAGCAAATGAAAATGAGTTTAAACAACTAAGTTTGAGTCTATTTATTATGTGGTAGGAGAACACTGGTAACGCACACTAAAAGTTATATCTTCTGGGCCTGGGGATGTAGAGCCCATGTGGTAGAGTGACTGACTGGTGTATAAATCCCTGAATATCTTGACCCTCAGTATTCAACGGTAGTACATACCTGTCCCCCACCCCTTGGGAAGTGAAGACCAAAGGATCAGACACTCAAGTCAGAGGCCAGTCTGGAATGCACAAGAGAAAACTTGTCTCCAAAAAACCAAGTAATTGGACAATTCTTTCTTCTGAGAGAAACTTCTCCCTTGTTTTGCTTTTCTCCCTGAAGAGAATGGCTGCCCTTCCTCCTGTACCACCTCTATCTATTTTTATACATTTATATTTTTGCACTTTTGTCGAAATATATTTTTGAGGGGTTTTCTTTATTTTCAAATAAACTATACTGTAGTCATTTCCCAGTCTTGTTGCCCAGGATTACTTGTGACTCATCTTAAGTTTAGTATATAAATAAAATGGAATTGAATCAGATCAATGCTTTTTTTTTTTGGACTGGTATTTTGGATCAGTTCCACAAGTAATATTTAAGTGAGGACCATGATATCAACTGTAAAAACCCAGGCACCTAGAATCCCAGGGTTGGGGTGTAGAGAAAGGTGGAGCCCAAGGGATCACTGGACAGCCATCCTAGCTGGATCTGTAATCTGATTCTGTGATCTCCAGCTTTAACAAAAGACTCTGACTTAAAAATAAGATGGAGAAAAATAGTTGAAGACACTCAACACCTGATATCAACCTCTGGCTCTCCCATGGGCATGCATGAGTAAGCACACCTACATGTTCACACTCCTATAAGTGTATACACACACACACACACACACACACACACACACACACACACACACAAGTTTCTTAACAAGAAAAACCATAACCAATGTTTTTGTAATAACCTACGGGCTATCTTTCATAGAGTCACTAAAAATAGCTCTGTTATCAAAAAGAATATAAAGAACACAAGAGAGATGATTGACTATCAGGCTAGGGATCCAAGACACCTCACATGCAGTAGGTGCTCATGAAATGCTCCCCAGTTTAAATGAAATGAGATGGGTGGTGTGAAGAACAGTGTGAGAGGAGAGTCTGCAAGGTTGAGAGTCCCTGTGTTTGATCTGGACGACAGAGAGTTGTTGGACCCAACATGTGGACTAGACAATGAGAGGCATAAGCACCGGCAGCCAAGAGCTGTCATCTGGGGTGGAACTCTTCCAAACGCCTTCCGTTATCATTCCAAACCAAGTCAGCTCCGTGAAGGCGGGGCAGGATGTACAGACACACGCACTGTGCTGAGTCCACAGGCAAAGCACAGAGAACACTTGAAAGAGCCATTCTGTTAATGCGCACCAATTATAATGATGCCATTCACAATGGCGAGAATGCTTTTCAGAGGACAAAGAGGAAATGAGCCATCAACAAGCAAAATAATTAACAATTCAAAAATCATAACATCACATGGCCCATTTACTGCGGCACAGACACGAAAAACAACAAAAAGAAAAATACAGCTGGACAGGGGCTCATCCTTATAATCAGTCCTTGGGAGACTGAAACAGGAGCATTGCTATGAGTTCCAGGCTAGTGAGGGTTGCATAGCAAGACCCCATTTCAACACAACACAACAAAAACAACAACAAAACCCAACCAACCAAATATCTTTACTGTGAGGGCGGGAGAAGCAGCTCAGCCCTCAAAGGAGTGTTACTGCTCTTGCAGAGGATCGGAGCTGGGCTCCCAGAATGCAGTGTCTGCTGGCTCAGAGTGACCTGTCTGTAACTCCAGCTCAGGAGATCCCAGCACCTCAGGCCTCCGTGAGAAGCACACACATACGCATATACAGATAATTAAAAATAAAATAAATCTTATCTTTAAAAACATCTGTGTTGTATTCTGTTAGATGTGTAAGCAAATGGGTCAAGGTAAGTGCACACATTAAATTAGCCTGTGTTTGGGTTTCCCCAGAGGTGACAGGAGAACAGAACTCTGGTGTGTTGGCCTTGCTCTGTAACTCCAGCACCAACCACACTGACTTTTGCAGGTTACAGGCAATTTTAAATATTTGATTGACTAACTGACTGACTTTCCAGGAAAACACACCAAAGCAGAAAATAATAGCAAAATCTTAACTAAGCGAAATCACTAAAAATCTCCAGCTGGCAAATCTCTCCTCCCTCCCCCTTTCAGGAGATTAATTGCAGCACTTAACATTTGTAAAGCATTTCTGACACATCAAAATGGCCAGAGGGGAATATGTACTGAAAATCTAATCCATTATTATTAAAAAATTGCCTTGTGGTCCCAGCAACTCCCCAGGGAAGCAGAGATGGGAAAGAAAGGGAAACTCACATTCAATATTTTTCTCAATGTCTTAATTTGGGAAAACGCAGAGGGTTTGTTGGTGGTTCATTCAGAGGTCTGGGCAAAGGTTCAAGCCCATTCCTGAGTTATCTAAACTGATTCATCCTTCCCCTGTCTAAAGCCAACAACTGCAGAGGTTTGCGGCAGCCGCTGCCCTGGCTGCGCTTCGCACCGAGGGCTTTAGCAACCGTTCTCTGGTCGGTCTCCTTATCGTCTGGTGCTTCTCTGTCTCATCTCCTTCCCAGAGGCTCCCAACATAATCAGCATCTCCTGCAGCTGCTGACAGACACAATGAGCGGATGAACCAAAAGGTTAATGGAAGGGGACCGGTGAATCCAGTTTGACCTGGAGTAAAGGGAACGAGGCCAGAAGTTGAGCAAGAGCGACATGCAAGCAGAGAGTCAAAAGGACTTTAAAGAGGCCGGACACAAAGTCAGGAAAAAAGAATGCCAGAGGTGAGCTGGGCCTTCTCTCACTTTCTCCACCAGCAAAAAATTTACAGCCTCGACAAGTTAAAATGCTTTATTTGCTTATTTGAAGAGGTGTCTTATATAGATTATAGGCAAACACCATTCTCTCTCTTTCTCTCTCTCTCTCTCTCTCTCTCTCTCTCTCTCTCTCTCTATATATATATAATTACATCATTTCCCCCTTCCCTTTTCTCCCTCGAATCCTCCCATATCCCTTCCTGATCCCTTTTCAAATCCATGCTCTCCCTCTCTCTATATATATATATATATATATATATATATATATATATATATATAAGAGCTATTGATGTTTTGTTAAATTACATGAATAATTTACCAGCTCTTTCTGTTGGGAAACCTTTTCAAGCTGGGACGATCATTTGTCAGAGTACCCTGCCCAGCATCTTCTCTCCCTCTAACCCAAGTGCCCAGGTAGGGTGGTGGAGAATGACTTCTCCCTTCTACTGTGTGGCATCTTAGTGAGATTTTCCATGTGGATTTTCAGGACTGAGCATATAACCCAAGGTGCTCAAACTGGGCTCTTTCTCCCAAGTCCTAGAAAATGGAGTCAAACAAGGTAAGGGACTGGGAAGATGCCTCAGTACAGTGGCAGTTTGCAAGCATGAGAATCTGAATTCAGATCCCCAGCACCCACATTAAATAAGTCAGGGGTACACTTGTAACCCTGTTACTGGGGAAGCAGAAACAGGTGGACCCTGGGGCTTATTGGCAGCCATTCCAGATGAACTTGAGTACTAGGTTCATTGCAAAACACTGCCTCAAAAACTACAGTGGAGAAAGACAGAGGAAGATACCCAATGCCCACCTCCATTCTCCATACACAAATGCACACTAACCTGTACACACAAGTGCACACAGATGACAGACAGACAGATACATGCACACACACACACAGACACACACGCTAGAAAATAGTAGTTGGTATTATCTCAACAACGCTGAAAAAGACTGTAAGACAGGTGAACATAAAACTAAGGAATACCATTGGGAGTTCAGCCGATGCAGTTCTGTCCCACTACAAAGCTCTCGAAACAGCAAAGTCACAGTAGTAAACAGCCCCCAGCTGTATGTGCAGTGTTAGTGGTTCTGGCTAGAAAGCAGGGTCTCTGTAGACTCTAAGTGCAATTACAGTACTGTCTGACCACACCCATCCATCTATTGCCATAGGCATACTTTTCTAAGAATATAAAGAATACAACAGACAATAAGCTCTCATGCTAGGAATGCCTGCTGCTTCCCCATTAGCCCCAGTTTATAGAGACAGTTTCCCTTCTGAATGAGATGGGATAAATTAAGCCAGTTATCTCCCTGTTAATCTTACCTAAAGTAGTCAGTTTATAAAGAGCAAATGTTTACTTCAGCCCAAGTTTTCAGTCTATAATAAATTGGCCTACAGGGCACAGCCATGCAGAGGTAATAATGTGTATAAAAACTGTTCCTATTATGCCCTAGGAGCAAAAGAGAAGAGAGACAGGATGGTGCTTCATGTTTCCCATTGGGGATACATCCCCAGCGATATAGTAACTTCACACTAGGACCCAGAACTAAGAAAGTTCAACTACCTTGTTCCTGGGCTAGATGCCTCCAGCATATGTAAATTGGATGGGGGACATTTAAGATTCAAACTACTACACAGGTGGTACATTGGTTATTTTGATCATTTTTGTGACCAAACACCTGACAAGAAACAACTTAAGGGAAAAAAGGTTTATTTTGGCTCATGTGTCAGTCACAGGGTGTAGAGGGTATAGTGGATGATAACTATGGCAGTGGGAACACATGAAAGGTGTTTACTCATCTCTCACTAGGCCAGGAAGCAGAGCAGACAGGAAGCAGAGAGTGGATAGGAAGCAGAACAGACAGGAAACAGGGTGGACAGGTAGCTGAGAGCAGACAGGAAGCAGAGTGGACAGAAAGCTGAGAGCAGACAGGAAGCTGAGAGTGAATAGGAAGCATGGCCAGTGACTCATTTCCAACATTCATACCATACTAAGTAAGAGGAGTGGTATAGAGGACCAGTGTGGCCTGTGATGGCCTAAGAAACTTTTATGGGCCAGATAGGACTGGATTTAGATGTTGAATGACAGACATTGGACACAAATGACTGGACACTTCCCAGCTATGATGGAGGGGGTGAGTAAAATTATTTATTTAGAAAAACCGTGATGCCTACCAAGAGGACAACATATAGGCATCATGGCAGAAAGGATGAAGGATAAAGAAGCTATTAGAAGAGAAACTGAGAAAATTATTCTCCTTTCAGATGACAGAAAGCCTGCAAAGTCTGGATAAGGAGCTTGAACTTTATTGACTGCATCCTGTGGATAAAATGACATCAGCGGAAGACACAGCAAAAAGACATTTTAATGAAAGAAAAGGTGAGACGTCTGAGGACGAGAACTGTTGATGCTGGTGAAGGCTTGGAGGGAAATGTGAACTCAGGATCAACTTTGGACATCTCCACTTGCTTGTTACCAAATCCCAGACAAACTATGCACATCTCATTTATTCTCAGAAAAAATGATGGATTTCTCTTTGCTGGAGGTTTCCAGTGGTACAGGACCAATCATCTAAGTCACTTCCTCCCCTAATTTGAATTAGCGACAGATCTTGTGAGCCACAGTAAGTGCTAAGCTAGCCTGAAGGACGGATGCTGCCGTTTACACTGCAGAAGGGGAGTCGTCTTGGATGGGTCCTTACTCATTTATTTGACATTCAGAAGGATAGTCAGTAAAATTAACAAGTCTTTCTGAGTGCCATCTTAAGTTTTCATGCCAAGCTATCTGAACTTTAGGACAAACATTCTTAAACATCTTTACACTCTCAATAAATAAAAATTTCCTTGCATGTATCAACCAGGAGTGATTTAACACTGGGAATAAGAAACCTAAGTGAACATGATACCAACCAGAAATTAATCTGATAATAAGGGGATAAGGGGAAAACATTTGGAAAGATGAAGGAATTCTTTATAAATTCTGATTCACAAAAAGTATTTCCTAATAAAGATCATATGTGTCCTCATAATTTAAGCATAAGGCTGTTCGTCAATGGAAACAATATGGGGCTTAGATGTCCACTGCAGAAGTCACACTGAATGGAAAAGTTTATCATAAGTACTTGGGAGAAGTTATTTTACAAACCTGTCATCATCATCTTCATGGCCACTGTCATTACCATAATAATCATCATCAAATCACCACCAAATGAAATGTTTATTGAACAGCTATCATATGATAAAATGCCAGTGATACTCAGGTAAACAAAAATCTGTTTTTCCCAAACACTTTGTTTATAAAATGTTAAACATGCACTTTTTGAGATAAATCCATTTGGATGCTAGGAAGGGAAGAGTACTCAAACACTTAAACCAAGGTTAGCCTCACAGTGCCGCTGATAAGATGTCTCTTTTCTGCTGTGGAACAATCTTTGTACATGGTAATATGTAAATATGTATTACTCTCACTGGATAGTAAAGAGCTGACTGGCCTATAGCTGGGCAGGAAGAGATTGGGCAGGAGAGCCAGACCACGAGGACTCTGGGAAGGAGAAGGGCAGAGTCTCAGGAGTCACAAGCCAGATGCAGAGGAAGCAAGATGTGTACAAAAGGAGGTAACAGGCCATGAGCCATGTGGTAGAACTTAGATAAGAAATATGGGTTAATTCAAGTTGTAAGAGCTAGTTAGTAACAAGCCTGAGCTATCAACCGAGAATTTATAATTAATATTGAGTCTCCCTGTTGGTTATGTGGGAACTGGTGGGTGGGAAAGAAAAGCCCACCTACACTTTTCAATGGCACATTATTATAAACAAGGGAAGTTTATAATGATTCTTCTCCATGCTATAGCATAGGATCACTTGGTTTTACTGTACAACACGGCCCTATGCTCCATTTCTCCTCATACCTTTTTGCCACTCATTTTCCCACCTGCTCAGCCAGTGTCTGGGTATGGAGCTAAGCAGAGACCATTATACAAGGCCGCACAAGAAGAAATGGTTCTCTGTCCATCAAGACCCTGAGATTCAGCCTGAAGACTTTGAAAGGAACCTCATCCTGTGTCTGCACCCTGGTCCTGAGGAAATCACAGTGATCCAGGAAGAGTAAAAAGGTCAGCTTGCTGATTAATGCAGATATTACTGCAGACAACACTGCCTGTAGCAGAGAAGAGCCCCAGAGCTGGTAAGGTCAGCTTTGTCACCACAGTGTTCAGGGATGCCATGAAGGCCATGAGACCTTTCCTGCTCTTTAAGTTTTAAAAAAATAACCAAAAATTAAGAAACAAACAATAAATAGGTTTTCATCCTTGGGGAGGACATTATGAGAACACTCCAAGAGTATGGAGTGGGTAGGAACATGTTAAATATTGACATTGTCATGAGGAAAAAAAGAACAGGAAAGAGTTATGAAAGTTTCACAGGGATGTGTTTTAAGTTCTGGGAAATGTTTAAGACAAAGTTTTATAGGATGAATGTGGTATTACAAACGTGGCCATGAAAAATGAGAAACAGCTTCTTCAGACTGAGACACCTGATTAAATAATCGTTAAGTCTGCATTGGCAGATTCCAGGTTGAATTCTCTCATGGGTCTTACTCGGTCAACAGCAGTTATGTGAAGTGAGCAGGGCATCCAGCATGAACACCATTTTATCAGTGGAAATGCTGAGGGTCAGAGAATCTTGTCAGAGTATGACTGAGTAGCACCAGCCCCAGGAAAGCTACACTAGGGATAGTTTCATAATCTGAGGTGGGCAGCTGTTCCAGTCTTGACCTGGAAGCACTACCCCTAGCGAGGCTTCTGGTAACTGCCACGCCTACCTATGACCTGCTCCTGGGGCAGGAACAAGGTGGGAGCTCTTAAGACCCGAGATCCGGATGTGCTGGCCCTCTTGGTTCCCGGTGATCCTGGATGTTGGATGGCAGACCAGTCAGAGTTCTACAGAGAAGCCCGCTGAACTAAACCTCACCTCTCCTGGATCCTGTAACCAACCCTTTTACTGACTGTAAGTTACCCCAAAATAAACTTCCTTTTTAACTACGTGGAGTTGCCTTGTTAAATCCCCATTACTGAGGAACATTCTGGAAGGTTCTACCTGGAGTTTCTATCTAAGGAGTGCATCTATAAGTAAATCAGAATAAGGATGGTTATTTTGAGATTGGTCATTTTTTTCTTTTTTCTTTTTGAGTTAAAAATTGTTTAATAATCTTATTCTCTAGCAATATTTACAAAATTGCTAATTCACAACCTACTTGGTTATTTATTTAATTATCTTTTTCCCTTTTTTATTATTAAGAAATTTTCTTTTCATTTTACATACCAACCACAGATTCCCCCCTCGTCTCTGTAGATGTAACCAACCGTCTTATTAAAATAAGAAACACAGAACCAATGTAAAAGAGAAAGCCAAGAGGTCAGAGCGCAGAGCTAAAATCTTACCTCCTGCAGTGCTCCTAGCTTCCCCGAAAGAGAGAGCTACTTCCTGTGTGTCTGTCTTTAAATAGTCTTTCTGTTCTGCCTTCTCATTGGTTGTAAACCCAAACACATGACTGCCTCATCACTGCCTGTAAGTACCACCCTCCAGGTCTTAAAGGCATATGTCTCCAATGCTGGCTGTGTCCCTGAACACACAGAGATCTACCTAGCTCTTCTACCAAGTGCTGGGACTAAAGGCGTGCGCCGCCACCACCGCCACTGCCACCGCCGCCGCTGCCACCACCACCACGCTCTTGCTATGGCTCTAATAGCTCTGACACCTGGGCAACTTTATTTATTAACATACAATGAAAATCATATTTCAGTACAAATAAAATACCACCATACTTCTCTCTTCCTGTCCCCCAACCTCCCCCCCAACCCTCCCCCCATTTCCACCTCCTCCAAGGCAAGGTCTCCCATGGGGACTCATCAGAGCCTGGTACATTCAGTTGAGGCAGGTCCAAGGCCCTACATTTTTTTCTTAGAATGTATTATTATGATGTCAGGTTGAAGAAGAAATTGATAAAAATGGACTGGATAAGGATATTCACTTTATAAAGTTGGTCACAACAGAACTATGAAGCTGGTGGTTACTGTGATGCTTTGAATGTTCAATGTCCCTATTGGTGTGCATGTTTGAACACCTTAACTTTAAAAAACTATGACATCAGTTGTCTTGTACAATGCCTCACACTTTAGCTTTGTTGTCTCATTTCAACATGGAGAGTGTGGAGACCATGACCTATGAGTTGTAATGTATTCGAAAATTAGGATGTCCATACAAGAATTTCCTTTTGGATAAGTTCAATTTATTCACATAAACATTCTTTATAATATCATGCTAATATGAAGGTTCCTTAATCAGGCTTGACTCCAATCAGAGGTAATTTAAGGGAATGCAAATCCTAGGTCTCCTGGGAAGTTTCTCTTTCAGGAAGAAGACATTTCCATATGAAGCTTCCAGAGATGTTCAAGCCTTTGCATGTGAGTGGCATATATATCAGAATACCGTTGATTTTGTGACATAGATAAATATGCTCGGACCCATTCCCAGGTGTCTGGTGAACAGTGTGGGATATGATCACCCCCCCCACACACACACACCAAGTTGCAGAGGTTCTGATTTACACTCTGCAAGCTGAGTTCTTAGAGTTTCTACCTCCCGGGAGAAGCTTCAGTACATGGCACATCAGAACACACACCCATCCAGGGTGTCTTATGAGGTTTCCAGGTGCAATGTGTTCATCAGGACCCCTGAGGGCAGGCAAGGGAATGGCCAGGCCTGCACCATAGCCTTAGACATCAGTGTGTTCCCTGTGACTATATAAGAAGAACTCCATGGCAGGTCCTCCAGAGAAAAACCAAGGACTCATTACTCAATAGACTCTGCCTTGCCAGGTCCTGGAGTGTTGCAACATTCACTCAGAGGGATCTACCAGGAAATGATCGCATGTTCTCTGTTCAATTACAATCCTAAACTCTGAAATGGGTGCCATTGGTCTTCATTTTAAAATCCTTCGGAGCCAGACATGGTGGAATACAACCTGAAATTTCGGCACTTGGAAGGTGGAACCCAGGATCTAGGGTTCAGGACAGATCCAGATGTGGCCTGCAGAGCCCCCTGAATCCCTCACATCCGGGCTGTGACTCCATGCTTCAGGATGCCTAGAGCAATATACTTTCTTTAGAATCTGTTGCAAACCAAATGACCAAACATCTTGGCTTCTGCTTTCAGGGAAGGGCATTTACAATTCAGGATAGTATGTATTAGCAGACAGATTAAAACTGTTCAGACAATGTAGAGAAATTTGACCAAAGTCATCAACAGGAAAGTGCCACAAAGTCACTAAAAGCCCCTAGCAGTTTCAGAAGGCAGTTAGGTACCTGCCTCTCTCTGCCATCCACCTCCCTGGGTCTCCTCTTCCTGAGGAAGTGTATGAAAAAGGTTAAGAGCTAATAAAACACTCTGCCTTGCTTAGTAAAATGCCAGACTCTGATTCTGTTCAAAGCACCAGATGTCATGACTTCTTGTGCCGCTCTGTTTGCTAGTCACTCAGATGGAGAATGTTGTGGGAAGAGGGGACCGGGGAGACCACAGAAGAAGGATGGGAGGGTGTTCTTGCTTGGAATAGTCTGGTCCATTGCACCAAGGCGGCCAGGATGGTGGTTTTCAAGTTTATTGTAGGAAAAAGAAACACACATAACAGAGAACTGTAATACTCCTCCTGTCTCATTCACTTCTTGGTCTTTCCAAGAAATCCCACACTGTGCTCAGTCAAATATTCAGATCAAACTCAGCTTCCACGGATGTGGAATGAGGCGAGGAGGGGCAGACCAGGAAGGAGCAGCTGAAAGGGAGGGTGTTTGACGAGAAGGAAGACCACCTCAGAGTTTCTCTGAGGCAACCCCGGCCCTGGAGAACAGACAGAAAACGATTGG